CAGTCGTCTGTGCGCTGTCCGACTAAACGGAACAGTAAGGACTCGGAATGATAGGGACACTCTTCGTTGCCTCTTCGTCGTCTCTGCCTACTCTCCCACTGACTGCAGCTCAGATGATGTAAAAGATGAGTTTTACAGAAAGCTGTCTGAACTTCTTCAGAAAGCTAAACGTTCAGACATAGTACTCGTAGCAGGTGACTTTAATGCCCAGGTAGGTAGCTTAAACGAAACAGAAAGACATTTAGGTGGGTATTTTAGTATTCCGGCACAGAGAACAGATAGTGGTGATCGTCCGATGCAACTTTGCTCAGACAATCGTTTATTTTTAGCAAACACAAATTTTGAGCATAAGGAGAGACATCGTCTAAGATGGCGACCCCCTGCACCAAACCAACGATGGATTCAAATAGACCATATTGTCATCAGTCATCGTTGGAGAGGGTCAATAGAAGATTGTCGCTCATTCTGGAGTACCTGTTTGGACTCCGACCATGACCTAATACGAGCACACATCTGCTTGCGCCTCACTGGACGCAAAAAAGCCACACAAAAAAGACTCATTAGAACTGAACTGAGTAACGAGAAAACCAAAAGTAGGTTCCAGGAACAACTGAGGTCACGCTTAGGTAGTTCTGAAAACAAGGCTGACCCAGATGTTGCTTAGAAAGTTATACAAGCAGCTGTGGAAACAGCAGTGACATCTAGTGATTTAAACCACAGGGTTACAAAGAACCAATGGATTCCTTCAAGGTCTATTGCACTGATAGATTATCGCAAACTCATCCCATCAGGTTCAGAACACGATGAAGAGCGTAAAGAAATCAGATCTATGTTAAGCAAAAGTCTAAGGAACGATTGTGAGCAGTGGTGGGCAACGAAAGCAAAAGAGATGGAAAAGGTGGCGGCTATAGGTAACACAAGACAACTCTACAGACTAATAAAAGAACGGTAAGACTAAAAGCAACAAATCCAAGGTCCGAAGGCGAAGTCGTACTGCTGACTGTACAGAGGTGTGACAGCAGTAAGGTGTTTCCTTCAGACAACCAGCATGACAGCGATGCTGCCTTCCCACAAGGAGGGGTGGGGTTAGAAAAGGTCGACCCTAAAAATGCACACCTCACCTTATCCCACGGATATCCGTCTCCGGCGGTAAGGTCTCAACAAGAACGGAGCCAACACATTTAAAACCTTCCACAAAAAGGCCGTGCGCGACCGGCCTCAAGCAGTTGTCCCTTGGGCTCTGCGGTCACGCACCCAGGTCGTTAAGACCGACGCTAATCCGATTTTCTTTTCAGGTTCCTCAAGAAATACCCTTCCACGGTGTGGGCAGCCGGAAAGTGACATCAGCCCTCATACCCGTAACAGCACACGAGACCACGTTGGTCACATTCAAATTCTTCCTACACCTCCTAATAACTCTTATCTCCACGACTAACCCTTCTTACGTCCCTTTATCACCTCGCCCCACTAGTGCAAACGATTCGAGTACGCGGAATGTTATTCCTGGTCTCCTGAAACCACTCTCTAAACTACATATAGTAGCTTTCAACGTCCGAACACTGCGAAATAGGACAACAGGCTTCCTTAGCTGGGACTTTAGAATCTCACTCAATCGATGTGTGCTGCGTCTCCAAAACGCGCATACAGGATCCTAGCGTGGTCATTCATTTGACCTCACCATGTCAGAGTAACAAACCAACTCGATTTACGCTCCGTGTATCTGGAAGCCCTGATGCTGCTTCCCATGGCCTCGCTGGCGTAGGTATAGCATCGAGTCCTAGGGCGGAACTAGCTCTCTTAGACTGGATCCCAGTAGACAGTCGTCTGTGCGCTGTCCGACTAAACGGAACAGTAAGGACTCGGAATGATAGGGACACTCTTCGTTGCCTCTTCGTCGTCTCTGCCTACTCTCCCACTGACTGCAGCTCAGATGATGTAAAAGATGAGTTTTACAGAAAGCTTTCCAACCTTCCCGAAAAGCTAGGCGTTCAGATGTAGTAATAGTGGCTGGTGACTTTAATGCTCAAGTAGGTAAACTATGCGAGAGGGAGAGACACCTGGGTGGATCTTATGGTGTCGCGGCTCAAAGAACAGATAATGGCGACCGTCAGTTGCAGCTATGCTCAGATAACCACCTGTTTCTTGCAAATACTAACTTTAAGCATAAGGAAAAACATCTTTTAACATGGAGACCCCCTAATTCGTTCCAATGCTGGACCCAAATTGATCACATCGCTATCAGCCACCGATGGAGGGGCTCGATAGAAGACTGTCGCTCATTCTGGTGCACATGCTTAGACTCAGATCATGCTCTGGTGCGAGCGCGTATTTGTCTACGTCTTACTGGACGTAGGAAAGATGGTGCAAAGAAACCCCTTAGGGTCCTACTTAACGATAGTCAAGCTAAGAGTATATTTCAGGAACAACTAGAAAAACAGCTAGGCAGCTATGTAACTGATGCCCACCTCGAGGCAGCGTGGAATGACATCCAAAAAGCTGTAGAAACAGCAGTGATGTCTGCAAGTACGGCAAATCATAAGGTTAGGGAGAAACACTGGATCTCAGCAGCGTCTACCGCACTGATAGATGCTCGAAAACTCATTCTATCTGGCTCTGAACATAACGAAGAGCGGAGTCAGCTTAAGCGTAAGCTGACTAGAAGCCTATGCAAAGATCGTGAACAGTGGTGGGTAGCGAAAGCAAGAGAGATGGAAAAGCAGCGGCAATAGGTAACAGCAGACAACTGTTCAGACTTGTTAAGGAAACCGGTATTAGGAACCCAACTGTTAAAGAAGCTATCTCCGAAAAAGATGGACATATTATTCATTCTCAATCCAGGAGATTGGATCGATGGGCAGAACACTTTAGGAATCAGTTCAACTGGCCTTCAGTCTCACTTCGGTTTCCCACGATCTCCAATCTACCTGAATGGCAAGTTAATGTAAGTCCTCCAACTCTTTACGAAGTTGAAAAAAGCCATAGGAAATCTGAAGCGTGGGAGAGCAGCAGGCCCTGACAGGTTTACCCCTGAGATTTTTAAGGATGGTGGTCCAGTATTAGCAGCGAGATTGACTGAGGTCTTAGGTAGAATCTGGGAACTGGACGTAATCCCATCTGACTGGTCTCAATCACTGATTGTGCCAGTCTATAAGAAAGGACAAAAGTCCTCTTGTGACAATCACAGAGCAATTAGTTTGACTAATATAGTGTCTAAAATACTAGATTCAATATTACTTCGACGCCTAACCAAAGCTCGTGAAGAGCAGACTAGAGAAAACTAAGCTGGTTTTCGACCTGGACGTGGTTGTATAGATCAGATATTCACACTACGTCAGGTTCTAGAACATAGACACATATTCAGACGCCCCACAATGATAGTACTTCTCGACCTTAAGGCGGCATTTGACTCTGTTGATCGTGAGGTTCTATGGCAGTGTTTGTCACTGAAAGGAGTACCAAAGAAGTACATTAACCTTATAAAGGCTCTCTACTCGAACACAACTGGTCGAGTGAGAGCTTATGGCGAACTGTCATCAGAACTGATTACCTCAAGTGGTGTTCGTCAGGGCTGTCCACTCTCTCCATTCTTGTTAAACTTTGTCGTTGACGCGCTTTTAGAAATAACACTTTCCTCATCTAAATTTCCAGGAGTTGAACTTTTACCGGGAGATCCACTTGTTGACTTAGACTATGCCGATGACATAGTTCTATTTGGTGAAGACACTGACAAAATGCAGTCTGCTAACCACTCTAAGCAACAATGCAGGCATGTTCGGGATGCGATTTTCTCCCTCGAAATGCAAAATGTTGCTTCAGGATTAGGTTGCATCGACACCCGAACTAGTGATAGAGAGTGAAGTAGTTGAGCGTGTCGACCGCTTCACTTATCTTGGAAGTCTCATCAGCCCTTGTGGTCTGGTGTGTGACGAAATCTCAGCACGGATACAGAAGGCTCGACTAGCTTTTGCCGACTTGCGTCATTTGTGGCGTAGGCGAGATATCCGTCTAGTAAACAAAGGACGAGTTTACTGTGCAGCAGTTCGTTTCGTCCTACTTTATAGCAGTGAAACATGGCCAGTAATAGTAGACGATATTCGTAGGTTACTAGTATTTTATCATAGGTGTCTTCGAAAAATTGCTCGTATATCCTGGGACCACCGAGTAAGTAACTCAGTTGTTAGGAAACGCGTACTAGGTAAGGATGGCAAATTAATTGATGAAGTAGTGAAACTTAGTCAGTTGAGATGGCTGGGACATGTGTTGCGCATGCCAAACCACCGACTGCCCCGACGTGCGATGTTTTATGGTGTAGGAGTAGGTTGGAAGAAAGCTATGGGCGGCCAGACCAAAACATGGCACAAATCCATGAAGTCACTGACAAGTGGACTGAGCCATGTTGGTAGATGTAGACTACCTGGTTGGTGACCGCGAGATGATAGCAACCGATGGTTAGAGACCTTGAATGACATGGCTAAAAATCGTTTGCAATGGCGCAGGTGCATCCACTCTTTGTGTTCTCTCAAACTCTAATCTTCTGAATTCTTCATGTCCTTTATTTTCTTTCCAAATATATTCCACTGGACTATACTCCTTAAATAACATCATCAAACCCTAATGTTCCATATCACTACTTATACTTTTAGTACCTCTACCTTTATGGGATTTGAATCGATAACCGAATCTCTGTGCTAATGTGGTATGGCAACTCGAACTGATGTACGTACGTACGTACGAAGTTCTACGTTGTTTCTGACTGACTGACTGACGTGAACGAATGGAAAGCCTATCTCGTGTTATTAATATTGGTGATGAGCACTTTTTTAACTGGTTTTAAGTATTAACCATGTATTGTGACTTGTTTTCTATTTCGCAATCTAATTATTTATTAAGTAAACGGAGTACCGATAACAACTTGACGTTTTCACCCAGTTTAAACTTTATTAAACTTCCAATTCAAAAGAATGAGGTGATTATGAAATGTAATGTGAAAGGAAAATTACCTTGTTCGACGAACAGTAGCAAAATCTGATGATGTCGGTATATTTGAAGTGGTTTCTTTAATTTCCTGGATAGAAACCCGAGGAAGTAAATAAGACATAGTTGTATAAGGCTTTTTCTGATTATTAGTGATACAGGTATCTTCGGAATAGGAATTTTGAGTAGCACTAAAAACACCAGTAAGAGTGGTTGTTCGAATATCATCTGTGTTCGTAGTAAAGTAAACAGCACTTTTGTTATCGTGGGTATTACTACTACCACGGAAATAAAGTGCTTTACCGGATAAAATATTGGGGAATTTATCAACAAATAATATATTTGGATACGAACTAGTTGAATAGCGATATTTTCCACCGACAGAGTTCTTCTCAACTTCACCACCTTCAACACTGCCAAAATCAAGGTTGGAACTTGTTTTGTGCACAACTCCGACCACTTCAAATTTCTCCAAATCTAGTGATCCAAGAGAAACAAATGTTTTTCTTGTTAAATCACCATTTGTGGTGAACACTTCAGGCATGGACAGTGAGCTTGGAGCGGAAAGCTATACAAGTACACAAAAGGAGTAAACATTACTTCGTAAATTTATCACTCGGTATCATGATAACAAGTAGTCAGATACATTTATTGGAAAGCCACTGTTAGTCTTTAGGTTTCGTGCATGTCAGAACTCAAGAGCTGATCGTTACTGGGACTCTGCATACGGCATCATTTACACAATCAATATTAGTATGTCTGTTCTCAGTACTAAGGTGACATCGCCTTACATAGAATTTCCAAAAAACAAACATCACTAGACACTGCATAGATGTAGTGGACACTTACGATTCTAATTATACAATTGCTTTATAGACTTGTAATTTTATATATACGTATACCAGTATACAGCTTTGAAAAATAACTCATTTAAAAGGATTCATCTGATGAACTGATTTCTTATGATCTATTTGTTATATTTGAACAGAATAATAGATTTATTGGTGAATTTAATACTCTGTTTGAGTAATAAGTAATAATAAGAGCAAAGACGGCATGAAAATGACTAGGGTGATCTTATGACTTTTTTCCTCTACAAAACTTTACAGTTCATCAGTACCTACTTGAAAAGGTAAAATAGTGACTTGAACTAATACACCTATCTGTTTTCGATAGTCGTAACACATTATACCTTGTGCTACAAGTGTTGAGTAGTTTGTTATGGCAGAAAACAAGATTTAATAATAACCCAAATTTACTAAAACCGTACATACTATGGAAGGCATAGTTTCTATGTGTACTCAGCTCTTGTGGCAACTGAAAATCAAAACGAGAGCTAAGATGTGAATCGGGCAACACTGAAAAGTACTGGTCATAAATTAGGAGGCAGTATATTAGCAACATTCTATTTACTATCGAATTTTTAGCTTTAATGCCGAAATTAATACAGTTGTTATGAAACGCGTACTAGGTAAGGATGGCAAATCAATTGATGAAGTAGTGAAACTTAGTCAGTTGAGATGGCTGGGACATGTGTTGCGCATGCCAAACCACCGACTGCCCCGACGTGCGATGTTTTATGGTGTAGGAGTAGGTTGGAAGAAAGCTATGGGCGGCCAGACCAAAACATGGCACAAATCCATGAAGTCACTGACAAGTGGACTGAGCCATGTTGGTAGATGTAGACTACCTGGTTGGTGACCGCGAGATGATAGCAACCGATGGTTAGAGACCTTGAATGACATGGCTAAAAATCGTTTGCAATGGCGCAGGTGCATCCACTCTTTGTGTTCTCTCAAACTCTAATCTTCTGAATTCTTCATGTCCTTTATTTTCTTTCCAAATATATTCCACTGGACTATACTCCTTAAATAACATCATCAAACCCTAATGTTCCATATCACTACTTATACTTTTAGTACCTCTACCTTTATGGGATTTGAATCGATAACCGAATCTCTGTGCTAATGTGGTATGGCAACTCGAACTGATGTACGTACGTACGTACGAAGTTCCACGTTGTTACTGACTGACTGAATGCCGAAATGAGTCGAGTCCAGGGAGAACTTAATTAGAATAAAAGAGATGTAAGATTTCCACTAGTTCTCAGTACTATTTTTATCTATTTCCACAAATTTCCAGTTCCCAAAAATGGCTACTTTAATGTGAGATATAGTCAGGTCCTCAGGTAAAGTATTAGGAATACAACTAACACTTGGTATGTAATATTTATGCATCACATGATAAGTTAGAAGCAGAAGACAGATTATTTCCAGTGGATTTAATTAAACTCCGGATATATTGTATTACGAGTTTGTTCTTACTATCCCAATACTTTTACTTATCGTAATCGAGGTCAAGCGGAATAGGTTTTTATGGATTAGATGTATATTGGATTACTGGGTCATTAAAATGCATTAAGTTAACGTGAGATCGCATTAAGAATTTCAGGACGTCATCACGTCTATTTTCACATATAACTATAAGTTATTTCAGATTGTCACATGATAAAAATATCATTTATATCCTATTGAGTACCTAATTAATTATTCCCTAAATAATATAATACTTACGCTTTCAAACTGAGCTCAAAGTGGCTTTTTGGTAATAATGCTTAGATCCACTAAACCCATACTTATACATTATTATTTTAGAAGGACTAGTGTTATGATGGGAGATTTAAAAGTTTTATAGACTATCTCTCGATTGTTAAATTGGAGGAAATAGAATCCTGTTCGATAGATGATATGCAGTGGTACAAAGTGGCTGAGTGGTGGCTGCTAACGAGAGCGAACCATCGGTGTAAGCTTCTGGATAATTTTGTATGAAAGGCAGGATCACCAACAAGGATAGGATTTTCTCAAAAAAGAAATACTCTAACACAAAACATTGACATGAAAATGAACATAGTCAATTTCCATAAACGATTGAACGAACTAGCAAGCCTAACTCCAGCACGTCATACGAACATTTTATAAAATGCATCTGAAGGAACAGTCTGGGAATATTCGGTGGTAGTCTATAAGAAAGTATGTTTTGAACTAATCATCAATACATTTGTATTCTAGCACATGTTGCTTACTTCTGTAATAAAAATTAATGTTACGAGAAACAGTTTATATACAAGAAATTAACTAGTCAGGATTCCTGATTGCGATATACAACACAAGTCCAAAAAGGTGTTGCTTATTCTATGGCTAAATACACATCTCGATGAACATTGCAGTCACTTTGGTAGACAATGGATTTCATTTAATTCCTTAAAAGCATAATGATCTTAATCCATTTTTGATGTACAGAACTAACCAGTAATAGTGTTTGGAGATAACATTTATCACCTGTAATCTAACATCATACCTGATGAAGTGAAACACTAGGTATTCTCTTAAAAATGACCTCCAAAATCAGAATAACTTCAATAAAAATATAACATTTGAGGGAAAAACGAAGCACACATATTACCTGATAGTTTGTAATGAAACTTTCATTTTCAGGGCACAATTCTCCATCAGAGTAGTGAACACCACTTTTAAACGTATTTATCCTTTTTTTTCGTTTCTTTTTTTGAATAGACCGACATTGTTTACAGTACATATAGAAGATATTTACTGAAACAATCATAGAGCCAGTTATACATAGAACTGCATTAATTCTTAAAGCCAGATTGTTCAATTTAATCAAGTTTGGTATGAAACCCCATAATAATATACCGCAAGATCCACTGATAACACACAGCATACCAATAATAGTCGCAATTAAAAGGATTTTACTTATGTAAAGTCTGTTGTGAGGTGAACTGAATTCAGATGGTCTTGATGAACACATATGTTATGACGCAAAATAATAGTTGGGTTGATTATGAGTTGCGGCAAAATATCAAACGGGCAAAACTATATGGATTAAAAGAATGTCAGCTAAAATAAATTCTAACCAAAAATAGGGTCATTTTGTTTGTAGAAATGTATTATTGAAAAACTATGTTTGAAAATGAAAGTATATCGTATTGATACATATTATCTTATGTTACTTGCTCGCCATGTTGACGAATCATCTTGATGTACATAAAGGCAGAAGCGATGAAAATGACTATAGAGCTGTGTGAAGTGTCGTTAAAAGTTTGCATAAACGTAAGTTTCTTCTCCAATAATTACTCAATTTATGTCTAAAATAAGAAACAAGATAATCGGAACCAATCACAGTAAAATTGTTACAAACTAGTCAACGACTTAAAAACGCTCTATACCGAATGACTAGTTGGAATATATACAACCTTTTAGTAATTATAATTGGCCTGACATAGTTATACTTTTTATAACTGCAGAGTAGAAGTATATCGACAATAGAGGTAAAAATACTGTATGAGATGGACGATAAAAAGTAGTGCGAGAACAATCACAGGGTAGAGTGCATACGTAGTCAAACCTAGTATACAACAATAGAATTGCGCAGTGTCATTCCCTTGTCAAAAACTCCAAGATGTTTACCAATATCGTTAGATCTATGCAAATAATTGTAGTAATAGTGATAAGAAAGAATAGTAATAACAATGATTATAAGGGCTCTATTCGACAGCGAAAATTTCGTTGTGGTATAGGATTTCTAGCACTATTTGTGCAGTATTGCAAAAAAATCCTTCAGCAATTGGCGTGAGAAGAATTTAGTATTTTGCATTGCATATAAATTATTCAGTTTAAATAAATCTAGAGCATGTAGGTTAGCTTCAATATTTATAGAATATAAAAAATAGGTAGCCCAAACATTTTGAACGTACGGTCACTGAACTAATAAATCGAAGGCTGACACTTAGTCTGTATACTGGATTCAGTGTGATTATCACAGGTATACAAGTTTGTAACAGACATCCAGAACAGAAAAATAAGTCGGTCGAATATATATAGTCGAAATAACTATACAAACTCGAGTTTGTATAGTTATTTCAAAGTCATAGACATTAAACAGGAGTATAAAGAATAAAAAGGGCTAATTACCAGAAAGTCAAGGGACTCTTACATACACAATATCCCTACATTTGACTGGATCCACACTAACAAACATATATAAAGACAAATTGCCTAAGTAACTTGAGCGTAGCAACACAACTCGTTTTAGCGGCTACGTATTCCAATTTCCAATATAGTTTCAAATGATTTCGAATGGTTTTTGACGTAATAGGAGCAGCTTTTGTTTGACATGCTTCCGTACCTAATAGCCATGGATTACCAATGCCTTCAGGTAAGAACCTGGGTATAATAGTGATGGAAGAGAAAAAAGAATTATTAGATTATAGCTAGATACTGACCATAGTCCTTAAGAGTTCAAATGTTCTTCTGGGGAAATCTTGGTCAATCACTTTGAATTCCAACGTTTACCTATTCTTAAGGAATAGAATGTATGTCTACAGTCCGTTCTGCTGTGTTATTTCCAATTTCTGCGTTTTCCCTTAAGGTTCGTGTTGGAACTAACCTTAAGTAGGTGTTTAAGATGATGATGAGAAGTTTTTAGGGTGTTGCAGGTTATTAGGTCACCTCCAGATCTCCTTTACACTGATGAATGAAGGTCCAGTAATTTGAGGCGCTCTTCATAAGACTTGAATTTGAGTCCGTAAACTGATTTGGTGGCACGCAATTGGATACGTTCCAGTGTGCAAAATCCTTTTGAAGGGGGGGTGAATATTATATTTCTATTCTCTAAATGCGGGCGAGTAAAACTGCTGAAGATGAGTGGGAGGTTCTTTCGTTCAACTGACCAAATAGCGCTTCAACGTTACCAGTGCATCGTTTGCTCGGAAGGTGCTTTTGTCGTAGTTAGCATACAACTTCATATCATAGGGTACCAACACTCATAGACCCTTTTCACCATGAGATATTAATTTGTATCCATGGTCATGTCTAGGCATGAACTACTTTACACATTGATGTGTTAAAATAAGTCGGTTGTCATCTGCCGAACTTTGGAATCGATTCAGATCACTCTAAATTCCAAACTCATCCTTTTGGTTACAAAGTTCTCTCCCGAGTTTCACATCATGAGCAATAAGTAAAAATTCTGATGACACTTTCTGTGGAAGATCGTTTTTATAAATTAAGAAAGAAAAAGAAATCCTGTATCGTGGAGTCGAGTCGCTATTCATTATGAACACCACTACAAGAAGACTACGTGCCAATAAACTAATAAGATCCCCGTAGGCCAATATCAGAAGGCAGATAATGGTTTAGTCGAGATGTATTTGTTGACGGTCTCGTGGTATCGAGAGAATATCAAGATCGTGCTCAAGGAGTACAAGCGTGGTTACTAAGCGTAACCAAATTCGTACAAGTTCAAAGTCAACGGGAGAGAGTGTGTAATGGCTGTCATTAGCATAGTTAGACAAACGAGCACAGTAAAACAATCACTGGTACAATTGGTTATAATAATTGTTTTCATTGAACCAATCGCGTCTTGTTGACAAAAGTAGGTCACTACAGTCCTAGTACTGAGTCGTGGGGGACATCACTTGGAACTTCCGTAGTCTGAGAAAAATTGACGTTAAATCTAACCTTAAAAGGTTGACTTTTTATACGCGAAGCAAACCAGTCAGTTAACCGTGACTTGATACCTAGCCATTTAAGTTTATTGATGAGGTACATGTGATGGACCTCATCGAAAGCTATGGAGAAGTTAATGTATACAACAGTAGCCTTTATCTTGTGATGAAGTATAGTTGTCTATCTGTCCACCGCAGTCAGCAGATGGTTATACAGGAGAAACCCTTCCGGAAACCATGCTGTTGGGGCGTAAAGACGTTTATAGATGGTAAGTAGTCATGCAGATCGTCGAACATCGGGGACTCCGTAATTTTCGAGGTTATTGATATAAGCGCTATCGGCTTGTAGCTTGAAGGTTCGATGCGTCGACACCCTTTGAAAATCACTATAGCGTGAGCCAACTTCCAATTTTCTGGTAATGTGCCTCGGCTTAGTAATTGTTTTACCTAGATTGAAACGGCTTCCACAGTATAGCAGAACAGACCATACCCTGCCAGGTGAAACGTACTTGCGTCGGAAACCACAGCACTTAAACAAGAACACTTCTCATTGACCGGATATAGTCCATTCTGCTATACTGAGGAAAGTGGCTTCAATTTTGAGACGTTGCTTAGCGTGATGTTCTCATATTCACTAAGCCAAAGTACAATATCCAAAATCTTTGTTGCGAGCTTGTATAAATCTACTGGTTTCTTCGCACATACTTCTTGTTGTTTTGGTACTTATTCATATCAAATGTGTGGTAGTCTGGCCGTAATTCTATTTGCTGTGATAATGATTTACGAATTTGTGTATCATGTGGTTGAGTGAGTCACTTATCCAAGAGAAGTGGGATTTCTTAGTACCAGCATCTATCGCATTATCAGAGAGGAGGTTCGTTGGTTACATTTTGGAGATGATAAAGAGATTATCCGAGTACTAAGAGATGATTGTTTAAGGAACCAGTGGATAATTATATTAATTGGTAGTATGTAATAGACGGAATCGAAAGAATAAGAGGAAAAAAGGGAGATGATAATGAGAGAGATAGAAAGTGTTTACCGATTGCGGCAATGATGACTGTGATAATTTACGAGGCATGCATCAAACACAGCTTGTCCAAGAGGATTATGGTAATCTATGGGTAAGTTTGTGTCCGTGAAATGTCCTATTGAAGCTATGCACTGAGAGTGCCTTGGTCACTTCAGCTAGCAGAGCATCTCAAATGGGAGCTACGCGTAGTTAGAAAGCGTGAGAGCGTACCTGGGTGTTGGCTCTTTTTAATTTGCAGCCTTTCGATGGTCGCCTCAAGGAGCGCGATGATAACGTTCCGGCAATATGCTCGTATTCGGGAGGATTGTGTATTTGATGTGCTGTATGCCATCACCAGATCACCTCTTATTCTCCTGTAGCTCGGTGAGAATAATTACAGATGCTGAAGTCCGTCCACGTAAGATTTAGGACTAAGCCTTGTCACCTACTTGGTTGCTCGTTTCGGTGTTTGGTTAGTGAGATTTACATCCGTTTTGAGAGGAGAAGGCTCAACAACGTTGTGGACACCAAGATGAAACCATGTGTGAGTTTCGAACAATGTCAGGGACAACTTTGAATTGATTGCTCCATGCTGTCTGCACATGAAGTGGAGAGTTGCGTTTGCCTTGGACAAACCTTGAACTTGTATCCAGTCTGCCTGTGGTTACAAGCCCGAGATCACGCTTTGAGGAGATAATCGAGAGCGTATCCCCATGGAGAAATTAAGTACTTTGTGTCAAATGAGACAGAATGTTCATGACGTAACATTTCGACAGATTAAGTTTTAATCCGTTGTCTACTGTCCATTCCTCGATTGTTATAAGGTTTTTTTCGAGCTTAAATGAATCCTTTTCACATTTTATGAACCTTCCGATTGTCTCATTTTTTGCATGTTGTAGTTCTACCAGGCTATTTATGTCTAAAAGGCCATCAACAAGGATCGGGAACATAAATGGACATATGATTATTCCTTGTGAATCTCCTTGTATTGAGAACCCTCAGCACTCTATTTACCTTGTCACAAAACATCCTGTTGTCTGGTTAGTTAAGGAGCCAGAATAAAAATGAACTGGTTTATCCCATCTTTCCAAACTTTGCTATGAGAATTGCATGAGGTATTGTGTCAAAGGCTTATGAGAAACCAAGGAACATTACATGAACTGGTATTTTATGGTCACAGCAGACCGTTCAGATGTAGCATGCTGAAATAAAAATTGCGAATAAAAAACCTTCTTATAATTATTCATCTGTTGAGTCCTTATCTTCCTGTATCAACCAAACACCTAACATCCTTTTTCTGTGGTGGGATTCCTTTACCTGATACAAATGTTATTGTAGCAAAATTGCCCCGGGTGGCATTCACAGTACTTCGCCTCACGGTTTCTCAGTGTTTATCGACATGCACAGGGAAAGTTTTTCACGAAGCTATTTTCTTTACTGCTATGAAATGTAATGTGCCGTGCCTGATACTGCAACGGTGTGTTTTATCGACCATGTGGTTGAGTCTGCTGCCCGTAGTTGTTCGAACATGGGTAATTTAGAAAACGATTTGATTATGCGCGGGTAGACTTCCCTGCCGTCAAGGCTTCCCTTCACCATTTTAACGTATGTTATACCTTATCCTCAAGCATTCTAGTGCTTTCATTACCTCTCCGAGTTGTTTATCGGAATAGCATTTTTGAAAGTCGTCCTCAGCACTGTGATGATTCAGTGATTGTTGAATAAAGATCGTTAATATGAGTAAATACTCATACTTAGGACATCCCAACGTCTAAATAAATCAGAGAAGCTGTTCTCTGTTCTATTGTTACCTGTGAAGAAGCTGAATATTCCTTCGATAAGCATTTACTACCTCCGCATTAAAACAACACAAACCAATTCTAGCAGTGATTTTCAAGCCATGTATGAGTGGGTGTTGTGTCCTTAAAGTCCCGTAACCAAGAATCAATTCTATCTTCTCAGCTATCTATGTTATCCTGACAGGATCATACCCTAAGTTCCCAGATCAAAGTAATTGATTCCCTACTTAAGCAACACAATTTATTTTGTTATATCAAATTGTGACGTACTGCAATACTCCTCTCAATACTGCTCATCAAAGTATCTTTACATTCCAATAGCCGGTGACGTTGAACTTGAATATTGAAAAGATTAGGGTCGTTCAACCTGAAGTGTGTATTTTTCGCCTCATTCTTCGATCTAACAATACTTTCATCATCTGAGTTGTTCTCATTGTCGAATAGTCGTTTGTCTTTTTCCCATCTGTTAATTCTAACAAGCTGGAAAATAGAACTTTCTATGTGTGAGCATCGAAGATTTTTGGTGTTGATGATGATGTTGATCCCCAGTTTTTCTATGTTTAACAGATAATTGCTACAGCAGGCAGTGTCAGAAGGAAAGGATGTACCAGATGAACATCTTGAAAAGATAGAACATTCGAGGTCCTGTGATTCATCATTATTCACATTGTGTGGGTTGCACTAAACTCAATAACCCCAGCGTTAGTCACTGAAATATCAGCTAAGCATCAAATCGAGACTTTCTAACATGATGTAACCTAAGAATCTTTTTGACAGCAAACAGTGACGCGAAAAATACACAGCTAAGGACTTCGTCACATCTCACTTCTTTCAAAAGTAGCTAACTATACTGACTTTTGAGATGTTCCGATTAACCCGAGCGGTTTTTACTATCTTACAGTAGAATAGTCATTATATGTGGTACACTGAGCAGTTCAGGTCACCCCAGTAAAGCGATTCTCCCTGGAGCTCAGCACTTCATTTTATTATGGTACAGCGACAACCAATAGATCTCAAAACGGATATCAAGCATATATTCCATCAACCTGTTGTTGCATTGCAAGGTCGAAATCTACCCCGATACTCATAGCTTCTAGATGGATACTTAGTTTCGGATCAGGAGTATATAAATGAAGGTTCGACTATTTGGAACAACCTCTAGTTTTCAGGCGTGATACAATGATGGCCAGAGAACAGTTCTTCGTTGCTGACTTGCTGGAGTGCTAGTGATCTAAAACAAACCAGATCGATCTATTCATTATTGGAAGAGATTCTTGGTTTGGATTAATTTGACCAAACCAAGTGAACTATTGTCCATTTCAAACTGTTATATTTGTAACTTAGGAACCTGAGAGTGATTATCACTTGTGATTTGGAAAATATGCTCCACTTTAGACTGGATATATTTTGACCCAGAATGAAGATTAGGAAGCAAAATTACGTCACACCATCCATTCTGATTTAAATACGTTAAACAGCATATTTTCGAGCCACTTTATTACTTAAACAGAACTATACAGTTTAAACATTTTAAGGTATGAGCTAGCAATTGTTTACCACTTTGTCAGCACAGTAATCTTATATTGAGAATTGAAAGTCGTATTATGCAAACTGCTTTGTAAGGTCATTAGTATACCGTTTTGTCCGAATTGTCCGCGCTCTATTTCACGTAGATCATGAGCTATCACTCGTGATGGGTCTTGAGGAAAGCAAAATTGGTCAAACAAACAAAGCTAACTGTAATGCACCAAATTTGTGTTTCTTTGCACCTGTTTCACCTGGAAGGATAATTCACCAATGCACTCTGGAGTTGTGGAAAAAATCTCACCGGGGTAACGTGAATTATATTTCACTTATAAGACACGTTCAGAACTTTTCAACTTTTCAGACAAGGTGATGGTGTGTACCTATCAATTGCCTCATGATTGCACATCGGCATTCTGTCTCACTAGGCAAAATATTGTAAATTTCCGAAAATCGTGTTCTGTTTTCTCACTGAGAAAGCGAAGAGAATATACTAAAATGGCTGAGCATTTCGAGTATAATCACATACCTGCTCATTTATCATCCATACAGGTACTCGAATTTAAGTTAGTAACTATTTTTAGAATTTACACTTCAAATCGGTGTTAGACATTCACAGTGGATTGGCAGTTGTCCATTTGGCACGAGATATGATAACTCAGTTTGCGTTAGTTGACTTGAGAATTAATAAATTTCTTGGTTCTTTTGGTCGGCAAACGGTTCTCTTTAGTCCTGAATCAACTATAGGAAAAATATCACCCGATGGAACTTATTGTCTTATCAGACTTCCTTGGTCGAGAAATAGGAGAGTTTACATACTCAAGGTATGTAATCAATTACACTTCTTAGCGTTTAGTACTTTGATTGTAAAAGATTTGTGCTGCAGTTATTTCCACATTATATTCCATGGACAGTTCTAATGGCTTTTCATTTTTGTATGTCAGTATTTTTTTTTACATATTTTGACAAATATATGTATATATTCTTGATGAGGGATGAGGATTTACTTAAATCAATATTTTGAAGTGGAGTAACTATCACCCAAAATATAGGCTCCAGAGGAGTGATATTGTATTATATTGAATTTAGAGATAATTGAAGCTTGACGGTTGATTGTCGTTGTGTTATACATACGTATAGATGTATGGTCGAGGTTTAAAAAGCTAACTTATAATACCATCTGTTAACTGCATAAACTCAAAACTTGCAAATACTGACGATCATATAGGATGCTTGGTGAATATCTAAGTGCCAACGAAAAGTAAACAGATCCTTCTGATTAATCTAAGTTTGTCTTCTATCTGGCAATATTACCATAAACATGCATACTTTCTAGTGCTTTGATTTATAGTTTTGCTATGATGATTACTACATGCGTATGTTTAAACTGACGTTGTTTTCGGGATACTACTTGGGTTAATTACTTAAAAGTTTAAATCTAAAATTTCACAGTTATCACTTCTGTATACTATTTAATACTTAGAACATTCATCCTACTATTGTCACCCAAATCTGTTGTTTATTAGGGAATGAAGAATAGTTGCATAGCTGACAAATGACATGCATAGTGATGTAAATAGTTTCTTAGGAATCAAGTAACTATCGGTTACCGGTCAGTCAAACTCAAATATTGTAAATTAAAAGTTAAATGAAACATTAGAAACGGTAATGTTTTACAATTCTGCCTATGTTAAAGCATCTTAAGCTCTCTTAGAGTGTTATTGTCTTACATGTCCAACACAGCTTTTACAAGTGTGGTCCATACATGTAACAATGATCACTTATAGTTTCTGCGTGCCAATCCTTTTAATTTTTTGACAAAGTAACAAATGTGTACATGCTTAGGATTCGGAATATATAGTACTATACAAGATTAAGATTATCCGTCCCTTGAAAATCATTTCGAGGCTGTAGAAAAACATTTATTCATGCCTAAAACAAACATCCAATGATGGTTTTTGAATGCTTTTGCAATGGAGATTTCTATAAAGGAATTTTATTTGGAAATTTCGCCTCTGTAGGTGACTTAAGTGCTAAATGAATGGTTTACATATAGTGACACTCATCTATTCAGATGTGTAACTATTGTTTATCATTATTCCTTGTATTTGTCTTCAAAAAACGTGGGAATCATTATTTTTTATGATTCGTCATTCACCGTTTACCTACCGAAGCATAATAGCTGATAAGTCCCGTTTATTCCAACATATTTTTAAGTTTCATTTAATAAGTACCGTTCTGTCGAGTAGTTTCTGAAATAAATAGAAAACGTTCAACCCTTTAAAAATAAGAAGATTCTGATTAGTTGTGGGTTTAGTAACTGATTTAACGACACTAATATTTGAGTTCCGTTTAAATATTGGGAGAAACTTATATTAAGTGTAATATATTCATGGTTTAGCTGTTTTATAGTAAAGCATCTCAGTTGTGCTACATATTTTTCTTTTCAGAGTTTAGGCTGTTAAAGTTTTCTTACAAGTCAAGTCAGCTATTGTTCTGTTTTTATAGTAATTCAACAATGAACTATTTATTAAGACTTATATGAAGTCTATCTCTGGTATCTTATGTAAATACGTTGGGTTTCATGAAGTTCAAAGAAGAATTTCATGTTAAGAGAGCTGTTTGCTATCTGCAATTGTTTTATAAACATTGGCTTTGTTTCACGTGGTTTGGTAATGTACTTGAAATCCTGCTGTTCACATAAAACTAAACCAAGATGAAGTGTTTTTATATGATTTATTAGTAAGATATTCGTCTGGTATTATGCGTTTGTTAAAGGTTTGATTTTTAGCCTAAAGGTATTTTAAAAATTTTGAATTTCTAATATGATTTTCATTGTTTTCACCCACTTATTTTCTTTTAAAACACATGAGACACCACAGTATAAAAAATAAGTTTGCTTTGTAAATATTTTGATGAGAATAACTGAAGAGTTTCATCGTATTATAACATACTTTATGCTCTTTATTTATATAATTATCATTATTTACTAACGACGGGATTAATCATAGGTAATAATTTAATAGTTTTATATGAAATAGATGAGATCAAATGATTCACTCAGACAGATGAATTATATCTACACAGAGAACACGGAGTAGTGAACACTAATTTTAAGCATAGTCTTTAGTAAGGATGGTAGGCCGTTTTATGAAGTAAATGTGAGATGGTTGAATGATACATTACGTTGAATGTCTTTTCGACTCATCGTGCAAAACCGTCTGACATAAAAGTGAGAATAACAACCACATGTTCATCGGACTAAAATGTGATTATAGTCTATGAAACCAACATCTGCTTACCTAACATTATCAAAGAACACCATAAATATTTACTGTGAACCATGAGATTATAAAAGTTGGTGTTGTATAATACGTAAGTGCTATCTAAAAACAGCCCCTTTTTTCGTACAACCAGTTATTTGGTACTTGTTTAAAAGACAATTTTCTCTTTCAATGTTCTATTTTTCATCTGTTGATTTATCCTCCCTGTCATACATTTTAAAATGTTAATTGTCATCTAATATCTCTCTGAGTAATTTAACTTAATTAGCTGCAATTCGTTGTAACATGATTATAATAATACTATGATTAATTACTTTGTTTTTGATGTATTTTTTTCATTGTCGTTTCAGCTGTACAACTTACGAAATAGTGAACTTATTTCTGAACTTCCATTAGCTAATTCTTCGAATTACGATGAATTGCCATTAAACAGTTCCCGTCTGCCATTAGGCCCATATCAAGAAAATAATAGAGAGTCAAATATTCGACCGTCGTACGATATTTTATCAACATCCAACTCAGTAACTGCAAACTTTAGGGGGAATGTACAAAATGAGAATCAACTTCAACTAGGTCCAGCTCGTTCTTCTCAGGTGTTGTTTGCTTTTGATCCACGATTTGTAAATTCACGCATAGCAATAACTAACGTGGACTTTCCACATGGACTAAACTCTCACAAAGTGTCAACCAACTGGGTCCCCGGAATACAGGCTACTATAAGTTTGGTAAAACTTCCGACATGGGAGTGTTTAACATCAACTAACAAACTATGTTCTTGGTCTCCTTCAAATCGTCACGGTTCACCTTTTATAAACAATGCTACGTGTAGAGAACCAACAAGACGAAGACGATCATCAGATGCTAACCATGTAGGTGGCTTACCCAGTCCGAACTCATTCAGTCATGTTTTTCCACATATTATGAGCATATTTTATTCAAGAGATGGCTATTTTTTATTTACAATCACCACAGAGTCTCGAACCTGTCGATGTTCTGCCATTAGTAATATTAACCATTCTGTGAACTCTTTATTACCAGATGTATCTGGTTACTCAGATGATATTTGCAATCCCTTAAGTTCAGGTCGATCGACAAACAACGGAACTGAAAGTGGTCGAACCCAGCAAAAGATCTTGGTTTCAACACAGTGTATTGAATCAAATACACGTTACAATTCAAAAAATAATAGTACATCCCCAATGTTGGCTCCCACACTGCCTGGTTGCACCACTTTATGGCTTACTATTTTCAATTCCGATACATTAGAAAGGTTAAGAATTTTGAGATTTGATCGATCAGTATGCCCAATTCACACATGTCCTACCAATTACCTACCGGTAATGAGCCGTTGTGGATCAAGGATAGCTTTAATTACACGACAAGCAGTGGGATATTATAATAGTACTAGTAATCAGAACGCTAGTAATAATTCACGTGAATACTTGTTTTCCAGCTGTAAGACACTTCCTGTATCTTTAAGGCACTCCGTACCATCTATAAGTGTAGAAGGCTGTTCCAATTCGCAATGGGTGAATAACAAAGGCGCTAGCCAAGAAACCAGCAAAGAAACTTCTACAAAACGCGTAAGTTCACTATTCTTGTTTGGTTACTATTGTTGTTATTTCCACATTTTCACTAATAAGTATATACATTTATCATCTGAGTCTCACAACTGCAGCATCCTATACGAAGTGTAACTACTTTGTAGTGACATAAGATCTATGTGTAAAATGATTTCTTCGTATTTCTGAAGTATAATTTTATAAACTGTTTGCAATTATGTATCTACTTTATTAGTCTATACTTTATGCTCCAAAATTTTCTATAGTGGTTGGTTTTTATTAATTTGCTTGAATAATATTTTGTTTTTAATCTAACATTGCAATTATTTGTAAAATATATAAACTCATTTCTTCACCGTTTTGAATTTCTTGGATGACCCATAACGGACTTTCTACCTGCGTTATTTGTTGTATCATTAAACTAGTTTTCATGTAAAAAATACTGTGGTAAGCATCTTTCACTCCAGTACATTTTGTTTTTCTGTGCACCCAGGTAGAAGTAATCAGCATTAACACTAGTTCATTTACATAGAGAGTTCCCACTTAGGCCTCAGGCAATACTCATGATTAGTAACTGTGGATGTTAAATGACATAGCTCATAAGTAATGACAGGGAGGAAGTAGCACTCGTGCCCTATCTTGGATTTTCATTCTTTCGTCTCATTTTTTTCGAACTGTATGTATGATTAAATTTAATTCATACCATTCTCATTTATCGTTATTCTGTGTTCCATTGCGCAACTTCATAATTACTTAGTTTTAACCTTACAGTCTTTTACTATTATCATGATCGGAGTTCTAGAATAGTTGTAACATTTCACTCGTCCTTTTCAACTCTATTTGAATATTTACTATAACATACTGATATGTTCTTACATCGAATTCCAACCAACTTAATTTCTATAAACATGGTAGACTTTATCGAAAATTTTAATTTCAGGTTGTAAGTTGAATGGGAACCGAAATGAAGTAAAATGAGTTCGTGTCATTCCACTGCTCGAATTTGTGCTGTTATTCTTCTTAAACTGATCAAAACAGACTGTATATGAAATATTCTTGGTGGTTTCTTGTAGTTTTTAACTTGATAAACATATTCACAATAAATTAAATTTTATTTATGTGATTTTCATGAATAAAATTAAACCAGATTTGTCTATTGGGCATTATTGTTATCTGTGCTAGTTGTAGTATTGCAGATTAATTCAGTATGAAAGAATATTGTTTCTGATAAATGGTAATTATTTAATTAGAGAATAAATTAATTGTATTCTGAATTGAAGCTTATATTTGAGAGGTAGATAAGTAACTGACTTCTACTTTAGCTGTTTTCGGTTATTCTGTCTTGGAAAATATTACTTTGTTGGGCTATGTTACACCCCCCTCCAAGAAAACAAGTTAGTAACTGCTTATTTTGTTACTTTTTAAGTTTCAATATTCCTTTTTCTCACATCCTTTTTCGTCTACCATGACCAAATTGAGCTGTTTTCTTCTGTCCGTGAGTCTTTCAGTGTGTTAAATCCTTGCCCTTTCTCCGATATCTTTGTAAGCTCATTTATATACATGTACTATTTGCTTAAACCAATCTTCTTTGATCTCCATCGGTAAATCTTGCTTCAAGGATTTTTTTTGCAGTAATTGGGACTAGAACGGAAAGCAGTTGTGGTATCCAGGTATTAATATGCATATAGGAGTTATTGTTGTATTTTCAAGACATGATATTTTAACTTTTTTTACATAACTACTTTATTATTCACATAGAAACCCATCTTTTTGTACTATTTTAGACTGAATTCAAAAAGCAACAACCGTTTATATCTCCAACCTGTTTACTTATTCAACCACGAAACCTTAATTTGAGTCATCACCTATCTACTTCATTACCATCTCCATTATCAAAAGTTCACTTGTCTTCCGGAAGTTCACCATTTCGACAAATGACTGGCTGTTCAAGTTTAGAGTTAAGCGTTTCTTCCTATCGTCCAATGGCTGTTTCCTTTGAATCTTCCTTTATTGGAACTCAGTGTAATTCCTCAGGCAGTTGTACTACCACAGTATCCACATGTACCAGTAATAGTAGTGGTGTTATTGGTACTTCTGCTGGTACTTCAGTGATAAATCCAACGGTACAAATTGATGTGCTTCTGGTTTATCAACTACCTCCGCCACCAAAACTACAAGCATTAGTGAGACAACGAATTCGTCAAGTAAGAAAACACTTCAGATCTTTCTTGCTATATTTAGTTCATTATATCCGTTTCAGTTCGAACATAAATTACCCTGAATATTATAACTATACTTAGTACCCTCTCGAGTGAATATTTATCATATGAAGTGGATATATGGGAATATGGTTATTTAGCTTTTAATCGTTTATAAGTGTAAGTGAATTAACGAACTGTTATGTTTGAAGCTTAACGAGTTGACTTAGATTTGTGAACGAGAACGAAATTCGATGACCAATGACCAGTGAGCTAGCTATTGCTGCGCCCCAGCCCCGCTATCTAAAGGGAGAAGTCCAAGCTTGAAATAAGAAGTGTATTCTGCAGCAACCGGAGAAAAGAGCGAAGTCTCTTTAGTAGAAAATATACTCGTTTATATATTGATTGTACACCCGTTTTGATTAATAATTAGAATAAAATCACATACATGAAAAATACTCATAGTGATAACAAATTATATGCTGAGTATAGTTCATAGTCAATGGAATACAAGAATATTGTATATTATACAGAATAAATATCATACGAGAAAAGAAAAGAAATATTACATTGCATAATCATTACATTGAATCAAAAGAATGTAATGATGAATAAAACTCATATTAAGTAAATCAATCGAATATTGATTTTTCCTCCCATCATATCACGAACTGATTATTATTCCTAATAAAAAATGCTGGTGTATGACTGATCTACCTCAACGTCTAGACTAATGTTTGGATCGTGGATGCGCACTGCTGAGGAGTCCCACAATAGGACGAAACGGCCGTCTAGTGCTTCCAGGTCTTCAATGGTAGTCTAACATCAATCGGTTCATGATCTCGATCAAAAACTTGACAATCTCCACAACACCTAAATTGATATTTTCATGTGATGAATTAGTTCATATCTTTTCTGTCAGCTTATTTGGCTTTTGTGCAGTGGAGAGTTTGATTGCTTTCAGATTCATTCATGATATATTGGTGTGTATGTGAATGTAGTATTTCTTATTTTTTAGCTCTGCAAAGATGAATACCTTGAACAGTTAGATCTTCCACGTAGAATTATTAGCTATTTACAATTTGAACCATCGTACAATTGTGCTGGCTCATGTATTTCTCGATCGAACAGTTCTACCAGAACAGTACGAAGTGATAGTTTTGACCTGTGATACAGATTTATCCGCATATATTTACATTTATGTATCTAATTTATTTCTTACTATTTTGTCCAGTTATTTTTATTTATAAGTAACATTTAATTCTTAATTGTCATCCATAATTTACTGAAATTTTACAGCCTTTTATTTTTATTGTTAAAATTGTCATTCTGTGTATATTGTGAATTATGTGTTGATATTTACAGATTGATAATTTATATCTTGTTATTTAATAGGTGCAATTAAGTAAATTCCAGCATTGATTTTTGTAATTTGACTCATCCGATTTCTTGATATTCATATTTATCCTTAGCATTTTGTAGGATTGACTTTTCCATCAATAGATAGATGGTGCTCTGAACTTATTGAGAATACAACAAGAGAGTACAAATTGTATTATTATTATTGCTAATATTAATATGACTTAAAAGAAAGCATCTTTAGTGTTTTATACTAAACTCCACAAAACAATAAACTAAAGTTTTTCTTAAAGAATTTGTAATTTAACAGTTTGACATAATATAATTATTGGTTCTTCATATATATATATATATATATATATATATATATATATATATATATATATATATATATATATATCTGTATGTATACAACACAATTATACTGTGCTACATCTTGTCATATAATTCTTTAATGTGATTTCGTCATATTTTTGTGCTTTCCTTGTTGATCTAAACAAAAGCTTATGTTATGCAATAGCATCCAAGAACTTCAGCAAAACAATCTGATGTATATATATATATATATATATATATATATATATATATATATATATATATACTTATTTATCTCTTTTAACCAGGTAAATATTATTATTATCCGTCTTTTCCTTCTTGTCATTTCATACTAGGCATTGTTCTTTTATTTATACTAAACATAATCAATTTCTCATAATGGTAACAATTAATTTATTGCCTTTCTTTTATTATTAAAAATTGGCTGAAATTGTTGTACAAACACTAGTGTAACTGATAATGTTCATCTTTCGTGATTCAGTCTCCCTATGTGTGTGTCTCTGTTTCTATTTTTCTGTGTTAATTTTTTTTAGCTTTTTCATTTGATGATGATTCTTTTGTTTCACACACACACACACATAAAAAAAAAAAAACAAATCATGAATATACATTTCATCTAAATGTACAGATATATAAAAATGTAAAATTAATGATCTCTTTTCATTTATTTTTCTATTATTTCATATTTACGAACTTTGACACTAATTTTTTATTATTATTATTACATAACCATTATTCTTTCTATAGACTATATTAGGTTGATATATGTATGTAAATTCATTGAATATAATTAAATCAAATTATGCTTTTTATTGTTATCAAATTGAATGAATTTATGTACAACATTCAACTTTTGTTAGGTTTCAGTTTAATTTGATCAGAGATACATTGTGTATTGTGGATGTAAGTACATGAAGTAATATGTCTATAAGAGAATTCTCAAGAGAGAACAGTTAGTGAGAAACGTGAGCTAACAACTTAATGAGCATATAAGATTCACTTTTATGTTTAACAATGAAAGAGATTAGTAACAATTAACAGTATGACAAGTGTGTTAAGCGAATCTAGAAATTGATAGAATAAGGTTTTCAATGCATTATATATGTGCATATTTTACCATGTAAGAAGTTTTAAAAGGGATCTAATAGTTAGTAGTCGAGGATACTTACTATTAGAGACTATTTTTATTGTGCTTTCTGATAGTCCTGAACTTAGTGAAGCAAAGGAGGGAGTAAATTTATTTACTATACATTCATTTTATTCATCACTGATTCACTTTGTTATTATGATATGAATTAACTATCATCAAGAAATTATTCCCATTCCAGTTATGAAATACAATTCAACTTTGCTTGTTTACTGGAGTGCTGAACAGTACCGTTAAACTGTAGCATGCTATTAGTATTATTAATAATAATACTTTTAAGAAAAAATATAGAATTTATATTTCGCAATCAGTAAATATTTGTTACAACAACAAAAATCAAATATTTTCAGTGTTTCATTCAACAGTATGATCTTTTCTTATTCAGGGAACAATTTAGTTTTAATGGTTTAGATTACTGCTGATCCTGTGTCTTCTGTTTTCGGTAGTTTAATTATTAAGTTTTCATTATATTACTGGATAACATTATTAGCATAAACCTCTAAACAACATTACTTCGATCTCATATGAACAGTTTTTCGATCAATAGTATGTAAAAAATTTTCATTTGATACAAATTTGAACAAATATTTTCTGTCAGGTGTACAATTAATCACCAATTATTTAACTAATCAGGTAACATTTAAAGATATGAGCACTAGACAGCTACTTTTTAAGAATATTGGGACGTCCACCTACATCTTTTCTCCTAAACATTATTTGTGTCCCTTGGGACGACTGGGTGATAAGTGCTTAAATTAGGGACAGGGTACTGATTATGTATCACAAATCAATTGATGAGCATGAGGTTGTGACACGTTACATGCGTCTAACCACTACCTACCTCAGTGGGTGAAGTCAAATGGTTTAGGAGAAATTTGAAAGAAATCTAGGGTTCACCAAACAAAAACATAGCATCAGTCCATAAAGTTAATGACTGTTGGTCCGTGGATAACAATAACTAGTTAGTAATGCTGTATGGCATGGTTTAGAATCAGTCAGAATTTTGCGGATACATTTACTGTCTATCTTCCTCCAGATATTTGGTTCCAATATTTTTAATGCATACCTTTTTACTCGATATTTTAAATTAGGTTCTTAGTGTTCAACCAGTCTCATTAGTGCTAAATTATCTCAGATCCCCTGCTTCTTATTTTAATTTCATTTTGTTGTGATAACTTGATGTGGCGACTCGGGTCAACGGACATATTTTCTAGATTCTACGTTAATTATGACTGATCATTCCCGTTCTTACAGGTATACTGTCAGACCTTATAACAAACGTATTATATGTGGACTACTGGATCAAAATCTTATAGTTCATATTTCCAACTCTAATCATTACATGATATTACTGTACCATATCTTTTAATCTTCAATTTAATAGTCAATAACAGGGATAGAATGAACATACTAATGATTCCAATTTGTGATAACAAACGATTATCAAAAAAGTACAAGATAAAAATATGGGTTAATTTTAATAATATTTTAAATTACATGTGTTATTCATGATAACGTTAGATATTTTCATTTCAGGCTTTTAAGTAAACGCTTACCTCGTGATGCGGTTTGATGATTTCCACAATGTATCTCCTATCCACTTCCAACATTCTTTTCTAATTTCCTCTCCAATAGGAAGTTGGTTTGTTCTCTACCATAGTACGTTGTTGATGATGTTATCCACCCAACTCATTTGGAATATTTTGTGTAGACCTTCATTTGTAAATACATGTGCATTTTTAATGATGGTTGTGGTAGTTCTCCTACCTAGGGGAGTTAGAAAACCCTGATTCCAAACCATGGGCGTACATGAGCTCCAGTATGCTGAATGAACAGATGGCGTATGAACCAATTATTGGTCACCAGCTATCATGAGACTGCATCTTCTGACGTTGCTCTACTGCCTTGTGGATCAGACCTTTAGGGTGTGACCCCCTAAGAAAATCATCTGCTTCGGTTTGGGCACTCGAGCAGTATCCTAGCCCTCACACAAATGGAATGATTTATGTGGCGCATGTCTATTTGGTGCCTCTTTGTACCAATGTTTATGTGTTTAAATAAATAAATAAAATCTCATACCAATCTTGATTAACAATATACAAGCAACCGGAAAACAAGATAATGTTATCTTTTTATTGAAGATGGATAAGGTCTATCAATCATATGCTGAACAGGCCTTCCTGGATTCAATAGCTTGGTAGATCACGCGTTCGTATTTAAAGAAGAAGGTGCTATATTGAAACTTCAGTGCACTGGGGTGCAGGTGCATACAGCTAACGAATCCGAAACAGGATGAATCATGTGTTTTATATTCCAGTTTTAGCCAATGACTTCAATAAAAATCTTTTGACTAAATGGCAATATCAAGACAATCCGAATAGTTTGTACATGTGCTTACAGAGACTGATCATTTGCAGTACATAAGAACAACAACGAAGAAAAAATTTCCTGCAAATTATGTACAACTTAGTCAAGGTACTCTATTTATTTATTTGAACACATAAATATTGACACAGGAGGGCACCAAATAGATATGTGCCACACACTCAGTCCTAAGAAGTGAAGACTGACATGATTTTTCAATGTATCAGCGATTATGAAGTTAAAAAACATTTACATTAATATTAGAAGCAAAGAAGGTTACACAATCACACTAATGGTTACTGTTAATCAACACTATAAACGAAAAATAGCTCCCATTAGTTTGTAATCGAACCCCATCCCCGTAAAAAGATACATAAACTATTAGTTATTTGTAAATTATTTTAAGGTGTAATAACTGATCGAATCAGCCTTATCATCATAAAATAATTTTCTGATTATGATAGATGAAGCGTAGTTTCCATAAGATTGTATTATGTTTCGTGTTCTTCAGTAACGGTCTCCCGAAAATTAACTAAGAAGGGCATTTGTTACTACGAAATATGCAGTTAGTATCGTGTGATCATTGACGATCATGGCTAGCTATATATAATGTAATAGGGATCAATAACTCATAAAAATGGGTTATCCTGAAATCACAGACAGGGAGATTTGACAAGTAAGGTGAAAAATCTATATTTAATTGTTAAAGTCTGACTTATTGACCCAATTATAATAAACTTGTAAGCTAGACATGAGGTACTAAGATGCAGTCTTTTGAGTTTAGTGGCCCAATATCCGACTCCCATTGGATCGTATGGATGATTGCTGTCGAAATATATATATATATATATATATCTTCAATCCTCGTATAAAATTATCAACTTAACTCACGTTAATGAATAACGGAATTAAAATAAGTCAAATACGAAAAAGGATGTTCGAATACGTATATTTTGTACTGTCATTGATCCAGGAAGACGATCAAAAGAACAAAGTGAAACGAAACGATTAGATGGTGGTTGGAGGTAGTCAAAAGGAAACCCTGGACCCGGGTTTCGTGCTACTTGGCACTCGTCAGCAAGGTGTACCTGTAATCTTTGAGGGAACTTGTGCTCCCGTATCACCCAGGGTTTCCTGTCGACTACCTCTAACCACCATCTAATCTTACAATAGTGCCCGCAGTGTCGAGTCACATAGACTGGTGGCCACATTACAACATGATCGATAGCATTCGATCTGCACTAATAATAAGGACTAGACACGCATGAAATTGGTCACCCAGTGATCAATCAATTGTGAAACGAGACGATGCTTGGTGGAGAAGGTATGTGAACCAACTCGATTTAATCAAGCGTTAATTAATATTTATAGTCATAAAAATAGGTAACAGACATGTGATGAGTAAGATAAGAAGTCCACACACATACGCTCATATAAAAACAGTCAATTTTGATAAGTGAACAATAAACAAGATCAAAACTTGTCTAAAGAAGAATGGATAAATTGACCTCTCCAGAAGCTAGAATAAGTTACATGAGCTTAACATGGTAATCGACACTACAGAAGACAAACATTATTGATTTATCTTTAATCTATCTTGAAGTAGTTACCTATGATTCAGTTGATTCTAATGCATCATCAGACAAAATCAGTTTGCACTTTAAAATGCTTCTTCAAACTAACCAAAACTACTTGAGTGTATTCATAGAATAATTTTTTTAAACTGCAGATGAAACAAGCTTTTGGTATGGAAG